TTCTCAGAAGCCATAAAAAAGAAAAGGGAAGTTGTGTAGAACAGATACGAAAAGCTCTTTAATGTACTATGTTTTTAAAAACAAGGTACAAAGATATAGGCTGCCCGTTATGCAAAAAAGGGGAGGCCACTGGACAGAAGCAGGAAGTAGGCCTTTCTGCTTCGATCTTTTGAATTTACAACTGTGACTACAATCCCAGGCCAAAAAGAAAACCTCATTAAAAAAAAAAATTCTTGGGGCCGGCGCTGTGGCTCACTTGGTTAATCCTCCCCCCTGTGGTGCCGGCATCCCATATGGGCACTGGGTTCGAGTCCCAGTTGCTCCTCTTTCAGTCCAGCTCTCTGCTGTGGCCCAGGAGGGCAGTGGAAGATGGCCCAAGTGCTTGGGACCCTGCACCTGTATGGGAAACCAGGAGGAAGCTCCTGGCTTCAGATTGGCGTAGCACCAGCCATGGCGGCCATTTGGGGAGTGAACCAATGGAAGGAAGACCTTTCTCTCTGTCTCTCTCTCTGTCTATAACTCTACCTGTCAAATAAATAAATAAATTAATTAATTAAAAATTCTCACTCTTTGGGATGGACTAGTGTCAAAATAAACTAACAATCCATTCAGGACACTTGTGATTCTTGCTGCACTCATTAACTGTGTGGCAGGCCATATTTCAAGAAAAGATCAAATTCAAGAGTTTATTGTTTTAAAGGGCACAGAGAAACACTGCACACACATCAAAGGGGGATAGTAGATTAGAAGGAAGATCATCAACTTAATGGTTTTTAACCTTGGTGATGTTTTGGGATTTTTTTAAAATGCTTTATTTATTCTCATTTTATTTGAAAGGTAGAGAGGCAGAGAACAAACTTGTATGTATTGGTTCATTCCCCAAATGCCTGCAACAGCCAGGGCTGGGCCAAGCCAAAGGCAGGAACTCAATCCAGGTCTCCCACATGAGTAGCAAGGATCCAAGTATTTGGGCCATCATCTGCTGCCTTTCTAGCGTATACATTAGCAGGAAGCTGGATCAGAAGCAGAGCCAGGACTCAAACTCAAGCTCTCCAACACGGGATGTGGGTGTCCCAAGCAGCTGCTTAGCCATTGTGCCAAATGCCTGCCCCCTTGCTGATGCTTTAGACAGACCTGGGATATTCTAAAAGTATCAATGCCTTGAACCCATCCCCAAACCATTTACATCAGAAAATTTGAGGTAGGAGGCCAAGCCTGAAAACCACAGATCTGAATGCTTTAAAACAAGGGATCTCAACAATGAGAACCCCAGGGAATATCTGGCAACGCTAGATATGCTGGCTGTCCCAACTTGGGATGGGGGCATGCTAATGACATCCTAGGGGGGTTGAGGCCAGGGATGTGGCTAAATCTCCCACAGTGCACATGACAGTCTCTCACAACAATGATAGGGCCTAAAACATGAAGAGCGCTGAGACTGTGAAGCCCTGCTTTAAAATACCAATGTTAGTCTTTATTTTTTAATTATGATTATTGTTTATTTATTTAAGAGGCAGAGAGACAGACACAGAGCTTCCATCTCCTGATTCATTTCTCAAATGTCTCAAAAAGCCGGGGCTGGACCTAGGCCTGGAGCCAGGAACTCAATCCAGGTCTTGCAGATGAGAACCCAGCTACTGAGTGAGCCATCACCTGCTGCCTCCCAGGGGTCTGAGTTAGCAGGAAGCTGGGAATCGTAGCCAGGCACGCTCACATGCGATGCAGGTGTCTTAAGCAGCATCTTAACTGCTAGGGCAAATGACTGCCCCAGCCTTCACTCCTAACAAAAGAAACAATCTCACGACTCACTGATGTAGTATACAGTAGCCTAAGAAAGCTATTTCAGTGGCCACAGGAACTGTAACTTCTGTGTACATGGTTAAAACAAATACTGCAACCAAAATACTGTGTACATTCTTTCTCTTGTCACTATCCAGTTACCCTCATCAAAACGTATGCGTCATTTGTACAGTGCCCAGGGAGAAAGACACAAAGTTCACAAACTGGCAGCCTGCAGGACAACATGGTCCATCAGCTATTTTGTTTGTGCCAAAGGTCTTTTAAAATATACACTGAATTGGTAGCCATCAGTTACTCCCTCCAGAGCCAATCAGGAGTCTGCCACAGCCCCGCCAGGCTGGCTCCCCTCACTCACCTGCTACTCCTACTTAGTACTCTAAGCATTTGAGCAACCCTCCCTCCTCCTCGGTTTTCTGCAATCACATGGGGGCATAAAGTTTCTATGCCGCTCCCCCCCACCCCGCATCTTGAAAAAAATCCCTCCATCCATTCTGAAATCTCCAATTTCCTCATCACTTGCCAAAAGAATTGTTATCAAGAGACAGAACCAAGAGAAGTAGTAGGAATGGCCTTTGTATGACAATCCCCTTAAGTTGTCATATTCTTAAAGATAGGCTCACTAGCACCTGATTCATCTCCGGGCACTAAAAACCAGCCTTGTAGTTTCCAGCACATTCCACTACAATTATATATAGTTCTTCTGTGTGCTTCCTTAAAGGCAAAGACAAATTATTATGCTTCTCTCATGATCCAATTTTAATGAATTCTTCCACCTATCCCAAAATAGGTCAGAAGACTTTATGGTGAATATCTATCAAAAGATTCTGTAATTTTCCTGTTAAGAGCTTATCCCTTTTCCTTTGAAACTGCAGTCATATGGTTTGGGGGCTATGCTTTACAGATTACCTGATACAATCTACACATTTTATTAACAAGGAAATTGACCCCCCAGTGAGGATGGGTCACTTAGCCAAAGGCCACCAGGCAGGGTCAGAATTAGAACATTCACTTCCAGATACTGGCCTTATAGGTTTTCCAAGATAACATTATCCCCTACTGTGGTTTTCCTACTCAAATAACATCCTTGCCAAGACATTTATTAACATGGGTAGACACTAGCTGCTATAGAAATAAATGAATTGAAATTTGAGCCATGCTATAGAGCTATCACTTAAACTTCAAGGGTTGGAGACACTGGGAGTTTCTGGATTACTTTTCTTTCTTTTATTGTCTCAGTTTACCCTAATGAAAGGTTGAGACCTCCAGAGTTCTCTAAAACATAAAGTAAATGGAAAGCATGATTATAATAATGGCAGCATTTTCTATCTGAACTCTGAAATGAGGAACTGCCTCAACCCTCTAAAATTCCACAAGTGCCTAAGGATGGAGAGTCAAACTACTGAAAAGCTTTGGGGAACGAAGTTTAAGATGCAAAAATCAACATCTCACAGAACTCTAGCTTTCATCATCATTCTCTGGCAAGGTGGTTTCTTTTTAATTTGCTGTCAACTTTATTCCTATCCCAACTATTCTGTTAAGTATGAACATCACATTTTGTAATTTCAGGTCTTCTGGAATGTTCCATGTACTGTGCACTTTGGGTTTTGTTTGGTTCTTTTTTTGGTTTTATTTTTTCCCCAGCTGATACCATCCCTTTGACATTCACATAAATGAAGAGATACCCCATTATTTTCTCTTGAGAGTTTAGAATGCCTTTGCTGCCTGATTTTATTTTCCTTCAGGGTTACTTAGTCTCTTTCCGATGCTTGGATGCACACTTTTGTGTGACTTTTAGGTGTTTCGCAACCAGCTCCCCCACATTCAGTGTCTGGTGAAACGGCCCCACTCTAGAGAAACACGATCCAGTACACAGGAGGTGGTGGAAACCTATTCCGATCTCGGGCCTCTGGCAGGTTGAGGGCCTGGGCCTTCTGTGCTCCCTCTCCAATCTGTGGAAGCTGCCCACTGCCTGCCCACTAGCCCACCCGACCAGGAGAAGGTAGATGGGACGCCAAAGGAGAGGAGCAGGGAAAGGTGCTGGCGCCGAGGCCCGAGTTGTAACACAATCCATTCTGCTGCTAGGAGACTACAGGTCGGCATTTCCTAACATTTCAAGCTTTTGCAGTGCAGCTCTGGACCTGCTCTAGCACAACATGCTAAAGACCACAGTTCGAGTTTTACCGCTGCAGCCTCAGAGCAACAAGGGGACAAAATGCCATTGCATAATCTTCTCAACCTCAAGGTGTTTCTAAACAGCGCTTACCCAACCCCTCTAAAACTCTAAAAATAAAAACATTAAAAAGCCACCCACACTGGGTTCTTAAGTTTTCAGGGCGGTGAGGTTTATGTCAGGTTGATCTGAAGCTAATGATGGCAGGTTTGGGGAGTCCCGCCAGGGATGAGGATTCTCGGACGCGGTTTGTGTCTCCGGCTCAGCCCGGAGGTTGGGTGTAAGAGGGCCAGGCCCTGCCCTTCCGCGCCCCGAAATCTGAGCCCGGAGGAGAGCCCCTGGGCATTCCCTAGCCCCGCCCGCGGTTCCCACGGACTTTACCCGGAGGTTGCGGAAGCGGGGCGGAGGTCCCGGATGGCAGCGGCCCCGCGGCCTCGCACTTACCGAAGTCCAGGAACTGTTTGATGGAGAGCGGTGATGGCGAGAACCGCGAGTAGCGCTCGATCTGCTTGGGCACCGGCTGCTTCAGCAGCCACTGAAACAGCCGCATCTTCGCTGGAGCAGAGCACTGACCTGCCTAGATGCCCAGGCGTCCGCGAGGGCTAGCGCAGCCTAGCCGCGCGGATCCGGCACGTTCAGCAGACACGCACCCCGGCCTCCGTCTCTATCTCTGCACCGCGGGCACAGCCGCGACAACTCCCGGGTCGCGGCCGGCCGCCCGCGGCTTCCCTAGGCTCCGCCCGGGGGGCGGGGCCGACTGCTGCACGTACACGGCGCGCGAGGAGTGCGAGGAGCGCAAGGGGAGAGCCTCTGCACGCGCTCGCCGCTGATTGGCTGCCGCCGCCGCACAGGCTTTTTTTTTTTTTTTTTTTTTTTTT